GGGGGGTCTGTTTCTTCACGACAGCACCACGGCACTGCTCGGCTTTTCGCCCTCGCTCTCCTGCATGTGCAGGGAGCGCCCGGAGGCCCCGGGACACAGGATAACCCGGTGGGGGGGCAGGCTGCAGAAGCAGGTGGAGGACCCGGCCATCTCTGACACGGTGCACTCTTCCCACTAAACATGTCTGCTTTATCAAAGCTATTTGTGATTGACAAAGTGATTTCCGTTACTAGGTCATGGGTTCATTATCGCACTTTTTCAACAGACAAATACTTTTTTAATTTCTTAGTTTTTAAAGAAATACGGCAATGTCGGCACACACAGACACATAAACAAAAGCTCCGTGGGGCCCCCACTGTTTAGAAGACTGGAGGGGGTCCCTGATTTGGGAGTGGCTGGTGTCGCAGCAGAGCCAGCAGCTCCTGGAGCCAAAGAGCTTCAGCTCAAACCCTGCGGCCACGTGGCCGTGCAGAACAGCAACTTCATGTGTGTGACCTGGCCCCTCGGCCTGTTTCCCCCACAGGATGAAACGAGGTAGCCTTCCTTATTTACACAGGACTGGAGCTCTGCACCAGGCACAGAATGTGTCCCTCACCAACGCCCACCCGGCGTCACTGCGCACGGCAGGGGCGTGACCTGTGTGTCCGAAACGCCCCCTGTACCTGTCAGCCACGTCCAGGTCAGATTCCATCTTGTCCAGGCCCTTGGTGATGCTGTCCAGCTGCTCGCCCTGATGGTGGAGGACTCGGGCTGTCTCTTCCAGGCGCTTCTGGGAACAGGCCATCAGACCAGTCAGCTGCTTCCCCTTGGTCACAGGGAGTGGTGCTTCCGATGGAGACAGCAGCAGCTCTCTCCAGAAATGCTCGATGATGGTGAAGACTGCATTCCGACTGGGCTGCAAGGAGCTGAACCAGTGCTTGAGGTGGTCCTTCTCCAGGACGGTGATAGAACTGAAGACAAAGTGAGAAGCCTCCTTCTTGATCTCAATCACACTAGACAGGGGGAAGCTGACCAGGGCCTCCCCGGTTTTATCAGTTGTAAATCTCAGGGAGTGAGAAGTTAACGAAAGCTTTCCAGGAACCCATCGCTTCTCCGGTTCTAAGTAGTAGGAGCAAGGCCAGGAGTGCACACAGACCTCTCTGCTCATCTGGCTCCCGGGCTGGTCTGCCCCACGGCCACGGCCACTCTGCCTCTGGAGGAGAGGGACAGGTTAGCGGATGGGTGGGGCTAGCGCGTGTCAGCACACTTGGACCACAGACAGTAGGACAGCTCGGGGTGCTGAGTACACTGGGGACTCCCACCACCTGGGACTGGCAGGATGGAGGCCCACCCCACCCGAACCAGGGTCCACGGCTCGATGCGACTGCCACCCCAGGATCCTTCACAAGAACACCACTTCTGCTGTGACAGCCCCACCAATACACAGTCCTCTCATGTTCCTACACTAACACTCCCCTCTCGAAATCTTCATCATTAATGAAGTAATCCTACAGGTAGACCTTTCCCTTCTTGCATGGCCCACAAATTCATCAAATTCTACATAATTATCTAGCTCCGCATACGTATCTGTATGTACGGTTTCACACGGCTGTAAGTAGTGAAGGTACGCTGTTCACATCTACGGCTTTTGCATTTGCTAACAACGTTTGGGAAGTCAGGCATGATGGATGTGAGGCAATCCTGACAGAACACCACGTGCGCCCTTCTCACTGACCAGAGAAGCCCACAAAGCCAGGAAAGGAGAACCTCGTGGAAGGTCAAACCACAGGTACGTGACGAGGACTTGGCTACAACTAGACTTAGGAATGCCTCGTGCACCTCCCTTGTGTGCAGAGGTCCAGCTGGGGCCTGTCTTCCACACACCCTCCCCGCCACGCTATGCGCACACACGGTTACTGCATAACCTCGTTTGTAAACACGGGAGAACAAGTCACTGCTATTATCTCTTACGATACTGAGAAGTGTGGGAGTCTCTGAATCCTGGCCATGGCTTCGAGGCCCCACAGGCCATGTGGGGCGGCAGGCACCAAGGTGCCAACACTGACAACGTCCCTGGCTCCTGAAGCTCAGCGTCCACAGAAACCCTCTGCATTTGTTCACTGAGTTATACTTAAAAGACCCAGACTTCTCCACGATGCCACATCAAGTAACCAAGGCTAGGCAAGACAAGAAAAGAGCTTGCATGGCATGGAGCGTCCTAATCACACAGAATCCAAGTGCCTGGAGAGTCGGCAGACAGCAGGCTCGCCGTGTGACCTCAGGAGGGCTCTCTGAAGGGCCAGCCAACCCACAGTTCAGACCTGCTGAACACAACACCGAGTTACCTCCTTGAGAGCTTTCACACACGTCCTACGACCACCTGGGGCACAGATGCAGCACGGCGGCCTCTCCTCTGGGACGAGGTCTCTCACTGGAGAGAGGGAACCAGAAAGCAAATGTGTCCTGCTCAGACTTCTCTCCCCAGCGAGAGGGACATCCACCCAACACTGAAACAAACACAGACCACTGTGGCCTGCTGGCCTGCGACCTCTACTGGCACAGACCTGTGAGGTTCCCCGCACAGACCCGCCAGGGTCGTTGTACCATGGGGCCCCCGAGGTCATTCGGACTGTGGAGGGTGGGAAGGTCTCTACTCTCAGAACGGGGAATACTACCCACAGTTTCTGGTGTTTCCCAGTCCAAGACCGAGGTCGGAGGCTGGGTGCCTCGGCCCCACCCTGGACCATGCTCAATGTGCTGGTCAGCACCTGGAGCCGGCCTGACCCTGGTCCTCGCTGCTGAAGGGACCCTCCAGCCATTCAGCCACCCGAACACCACCAACTGTGTCCAACCGTAGAGAGAGTCAGGGCCTGTGTTGTTCACCACTGTCCAGTGTTGGGGAGCTTGCTGCAGCTAGAGGCTGAGTCCCTACTAACAAGAGCCTGTGCCCCGGGGGCACTCCCGAGCTCCAAGCGAGATGACACACACAGGCTCCAGAGCGATGGAGTGTGGCACTGCAGGGTCTGAGGAGCTCCGCTCTGCCACGTGCTTTACAAGCATAGAAAGTTCCTTCACCCTCTGGGCCTGTTTACCCACCACAAATGACTGAAGACCGAAGGACAACAGCAGCTCTGAAATATGCTAGAGTTCAAAGAGAGGAGGACACTGAGGCGCCTGGCTGGCTCGGTCGTTAAGCGTCTGCCTTTGGTTCAGGTCATGGTCCCGGGGTCCTGGGATCGAGCCCCGAGGTGGGATCCCTGCTCCGCGGGAAGCCTGCTCCTCCCTCTTGTACTCCCCCTGCTTGTGTTCCCTGTCTCACTGTGTCTCTGTCAAATAAATAAATAAAATCCTAAAAAAAAAACCCCAAAACACAAGGAGAGAAGGACGAGGAAAGAGGAACGAAGCAGAAACGAAACACGTCTCACTAAGGTGCCACACGTGAGGACTGTGAGAGCAGCACTCGGGTTCAAGGGTTCCAGGAAAGAGCAAGCGGAGGAGCCTGTGGCCAGCACGCTCCCTACCACACCTTTCCGTGGCGCTTTCCCACCAGACGCAGTGAACAAGATGAAGGGGAGGGCCAGAGCAGGAACCACATGCCCACGGCCTCCCTCTCCCTCAGCTGTGAACTCACTGGCCACACCTGCCCCCGGGTGTCCCGCCTGTGCCCTGCCCCCACTACCGATGGCAGGAAGAAGCGCCCTGCTCCCTACAAGGCTGGGCCTCGCTCTTGTGTCCCCGATCCCAACCCCTTCCAGCAACACCGACCTCTCCGTCCTTCCGACACCGGGCCCAGACGGCAAGTACCTTAGGCTTTGTGAGCACACGGTCCCCGCTGCAAGAGCGCAACCCTGCAGCCGTACAGCGGGAGCAGACAGCGGCGCACAGAGACAGAGGGCTGTGGCTGTCCTCATTCACAAGACAGGGGGCCACCTCGCTCGCCCTCCCCTGCCCTAGACCCTCATCAGTTTGCACAGACGCCCCAAGCTCTCCACCTTCGCACAGACCAGCGGACCCCTCCCCACATCCCCACAGCCCTCTCCCGCTGCCGCGCCTCCCAGAGACACCCACTGCGGCTCCCACCACCAGGTACCCCCCACCCGCGGACACGCTGCTCTGCCCAGGCCTCCAGGCGGGGCCAAATGCAATGCCCACCTCTGTCTGTGCTAACCTCTGTCCGACACAGCTGCCCGTCTGGAGACAGACCATGCTTCCTCCCTGGCCTCCCACCCCCAGCCCCGGGAGCCTCAGGGGCCCCCTCTCCTCTTCTGCCCCAGCACCCCACCACCCCATGGCCAGCTCCAGGGGCTCCTTTTCCCCTGAAACAGACCTTTTGCTGATCACACAGCACTTGCCACAGCTCCCAGGAGCCTACATGTTGACAGGCTCAGTCTACGTGCTGGAGAAGGCAAACCTAAGGAGAAGGGTGCCTTGGGCACAATGCCAGCACATCGTGGGCACCAGGTAAATACGTGGAAACAGCGACCGTGTCCACCGTGGACGGCTTTCCTCCTCCCACCTGCTGACCCGGGTCTCTGATCTATGCTCTGTTCCTGGAGGCCTTGTTCGGTCCTCACCTGTTATAGTCTGGAACCCACGTCAACCTGTGCTGACCCTGGGAATGGAGCTGAATGACGACAGGAAGTTCTCGGGGCAGCACCCCAAGAAATGCTCGTGGGGAGACGTGAGCAGGCACGTGGACGGAGCGCACGACGCCCCGCATTCTGTACGAGGCACTGTTGTATATGAATGTCTTTTAGCGCCTGCACCAGGCCTGTGCCCTGGAGTGAGCCTCAGCATCAAGTAAACACCCTATTTTTAGTCAGTTTCCAAAGGCACAGACCCAGCAACATTTTACACAAGTTCCAAGGACTCCTGAACACAAGGAGGCCTGGAGGCAGAACAGTGGGAGCACTGTCTCCCGGCGCCGGTGGCCACCTTTTCCATTACCTCCACCTCCTGCTTCTCAGAGGCTCCCACTCTCAACCTGGGAGGTTCAAACGTGCGGGTGTCTCTGGGCCACAACGCGGCCTATTCACATGGCATGCACCATCCTTCTCACCCTCGGAAAGGAGATCGAGGACCTCTCTGTACTCCCACTGCATTTCCGACCACACCGTAGCGTGAAAGTCCCCGCCGGCCGTGTGGACAGCGCAATGCTGGGGCACGTCAGGGCTCAGAGCAGCATCCTGCCCCCCACGTTCTGACTCAGTGGGTCCGAGTGGGGCCCAAGAAAGTACATCTCTCACAGTTCCCAGACGGTGCCAGGACTGCTTTCCAGGGGCCTTCGAGGGACACGGCCCATGTTGTGGTCCCAGCTCCAGCACCAGAGGGCCACCGTGTGGACCAGAGGGAGCACAGCACGGAACATGGGGTCCCACCTCCTACCCTGGCTTCCTGGCTCAGCTGCCTCAACAATCCTGGGGAGCACGTGGACCGGCTGGCCCAAAGCCTCCCCCTTTTCAGGAAACCTGGTTTTAAGAACTGAGCTTCAGGAGCCAGACTCCCGGGACCCTTCCCAGACAACACCTGTCTCAGTTTCACATTTCTCCCGACACACACACTTTAAACCACATCTTCTCAAGCTTCAGACACTGACAAACACTCTGCTTCCCACACTTTTCCTAAATGCCTCCCGTGATCTGCATTCACCACAACTGAAATCTAATTATTAAGGAGCATCCAGTCGATTTGTGGCAAGATGTGGACAATATATGATTAAAAAAAAAAAAGCCTAAAAACAGCAGAGGCTTACGTACGCAAACTTCCACATGTACAAAATATAGATGTGTCAGGGAAATCCAAATCAAAACCTCAAAGAGATACCACCTCACACCCGTCAGAACGGCTAAAATTAACAAGTCAGGGAACGACAGATGTTGGCGGGGATG